AGCATCGCCTGTACATGGACCAATAATTTAAGTTGAAACTGTAGAATGCAAATGACAAAAAAGGACAAAAATTAGCTACAGTAGATTATGTATTTAGTTGATGTTCGTATTTATGAGTTTATGAATTTCAGTCCTAGATATAGAATGTAGCCACTTTTTTAAATTTCTTTTGAAACAATTTCCGTAACGTAAATCTTTTAAGTCTTTAGGTATAATTTCATAAAATCTAGGCGCTAAATAGAGATATGATCGCTGCATTATAGATTTATGCGGTTGAGGAACTACTGTGCCACGAATTTTGTACCTGGTATAATGATTATGTTTAATTTTTTGGTCGGTGTTTACAAATTTATGGTAGTGAGTGATACTGTGTAAGAAATAAAGCTGTCTTATATCATACATTCGAACATCTGCGTATAATTTTTCAGTGGGATAAAGTTTCGGTTTTTTAAATATCATTTTTAGAATAATTTTTTGAAAAACATCTAAATTATAGATATGTGAGGAACATGCAGCTCCCCATGCTAATATACCATATGTGAGATGAGGCTCAATCAGTGCATGGTATAATGTTCGAAGATATTTTTCTGTCAATATATTCCCAAGGTATTTAATTTTGTAGGATATATAACGTCAATACCATATACAAAGTCAAATTTTTGGGTGGCACTTTTGAAACACACGTGACTTGGGAGAAACATGTAAACAGTATTCTCAAGGAACTATGCAAGACTATTTATTTAATTAGGAATCTGAAAAGCTGTGGATACTTCCTCTCAAGAATGGCATATTATGCACTCTTAAGCTGGGGTCACTCTATGTATATTCCTAAAGTATTTGCACTACAAGGCTCATTTAAGTATAGAATTAAAGCTTACCTCATAACGGAAGATTTTTATACCATCGAGAAATTTATAAATAATAACTTTTCGGATCTCTTATAATGTAGTGTGCTTGTTTACTTTTACTCTGTTAATTTGTTCGAATATGCTTTTTACTTATAACGAATTTTGTTGTTTTCTGAATTTACTGTATTTTATCTTTTATTTTTCCCTGTATATGAATGCAAGTGTACTAAGCACCAATATAGAAATCAGAGAGACGAAAGAAACAACAAAAAGCAACTATCATTTTCACGATTACGTTCTTCCCCGTCAGTGGGCGTGGGAAGTAAAATGAGTACTGTGACGCCCGGTCAAGTGAATTTACAAAATTTCGAACGTTCGGTTAGCATTTAAACATACCAACATAGTTAAAAAACCGTTCTTGTTACTGCGCACAAAAATACAGCTAGCTCGTACAATTCGATGCGTATATCCAGTGGTTATATCGCAATTTCAATTTGAACTTTCAATCCAACAGAGGGACTGTGAAACGTATTTGACGGCAGATTATGTTCACAAAAATGGAGAGCTTATTGACGTCGAATTCCATACATTCATAACCGAAAAATGCTCTTTATTGTCAGTAGTTCGCAACGAATTCGGATTAGGTACAACGAGCCAGTCGATGATTTGTTTGTCTCCTAATTTCGCTAGTCTATAGAGAGGATCAAAGTGCACTAGACATAGGTCAAGTTTTTGACAGCTTTGTTATCAAAGTCGTATTTTTAGTGTTATTTTTTGGAAGTGCGAGTGTTCGTAGGTAATTGTGGTGTTAAGTCATGGTACAAGCACAAGCCTATAAAGCAGAGTTCCCCAAACTTTTTTGTGTCGTAGACCCCTTGCCATGTTTTTCCGTGTTGGGTAGACCCCCTACTTACCTGATATTGATTTCCCGTAAATTTCTAACTGTAGTGAAGTTTAGTGTTAAAAACTTAAAGTAAAAACACATGTTAATTTATACATTTATTAATTGAATTTAAATTAAAACTACTCAAAATAAAATTTTGTATCTGTTATGTAAAATATACGTAACATTAAATAAACAGGTGTCTGACCAATAAGTGCCCGCATTGGGAATAAGTGCCCGCATTGAAAAAAAATAAGAGGGATCAAATAAAAAAAAAAGTGAAAAATAAAAAAAAAGTTTTTTACTTAAAATAGTACAATAAGCGAGTTCGTTTATTAATTATAACATACACGTATGTTCTACAATAATTTCACTGTTAGTTTGATTAAATTCCGCTTCTTATACGTTTAAGTTATCTAAAAATAGGCAAAAAATTAACGAATTTTAGTGTGTTCCTATCCTTGAATTTTCAGAATAATTTTAAAAAAAATATTTTCTATAAAGGGGGGTTCTTTAAAAAAATCAATGCGGGCACTTATTCCCAATGCGGGCATTTATTGGTCAGACACCAATAAACATAAAATAAACTATAAATAAAATAACATAAGCAATAAGTCAATATTTTTAGTGAGAAGGATGAACCTGATGCTTTAATAATAAATTATCAACATTTGGCATCAAGGAGATTGGAAACAGCGCTGAACCACTAGGTATGACGATGGAAAGGAAATTAAAAATGTCTTCGCTATATTCCATAATACGGGATAAGTAACGGGTATGTTGTTTTGCAGCCAGAATTGCTGATATCCGTTTTTAAACTGAACCTTAAGTTCTTCGTTTGTACTTAGTTCAGTCTGTTCCTCTTGTATTATGATATTCGTTTCTTCTATGTAACCATATGTATTAATAATCCACGGTGGTATTACCATAGTCAAAATATCCTCAAACCTAGATTCAAAATCTGAATAGAGGGCATTTAAATGTTGAACGTAAGTTGAAACGTCGCCCCGTCCAATATTTTGCTTCATTACTTTAACTTTCGCAAGAAACGCTGATAAGATGGACTTTGTTTTAATCAAATTTAAACTGTCGCCTTGTAATTGCAAATTAACCATATCAAATTTTGTAAACAAATCTGTTAAATAGGCGATGTATGTTTTCCTCTTCATTAAATATTCTTTTAAAATTTTATCTTTAGTGTCCAGAAATTCTAAAATAGTCTCAAAAAGTGCAAAAAATCTTGTCAAACATAAGCCTTTCGACAGCCAGCGTACTTCAGTGTGAAGGAGTAATTGATGAAAGTGTTCGTCATTTTCTTCACACAACTGCGCAAATAACCGCGTATTCAACGCGTTGCTTCGGATTCGGTTTACTGCACCAATGACTAAATTTTTAGCAACTAAATGTTGTCGATGGATGACGCAATGTATTGCTAACACCCCTGACACATTTTGTTTTAAATAGCTTATAAATCCACGATAATGTCCAACCACGGCAGGTGCTCCATCTGTAGCTACTGATATTATATGTGATAAAGGAATTGCTTTTTCAATGAAGTAATACTTCAAAACATAAAATATTGATTCACCTTTAGTGTCGGTTATCAAAGTTCTTGCGAAGAGCAGTTCTTCGTAGATTTCTTGATTTATAATAAAACGAACATATGCCAATAATAATGCTGCATTATCAGGTAACGTTCACTCGTCCAGTTGTATAGAGAAATGGGTCGTTTGCAAATAATTACATAAGAAGCTTTCAATATCAGAACTCATTTCATCAATACGTCTTTCAACAGTATTGTTGCTTAAGGGCTTTTAATGATATCAAATGCAGGTTTGTGTAAAACAGATTTTAAAACCTCTTCAACGGCTGGCAAAATTAGCTTCTCTACGATAGTATGCGGTTTTCCGGATTTTGCTATAAGTAACGAGATATTGTAAGACGCCCGCGAACCATCATCATTTCTTTGTGACGTCGAAACGAACATTCTGTCCAGTGTAGGTCTCTTCTGAAATTTATCTTTGAGTCTTTGAAAGTATTTCAAATCTTTCTGTGTTTTATCAGGGTGGCATCTTCTCAGATGATCTTGCAGTTTAGATGGTTTCATAGCGTCATTGCCCAAAACTTTGTTGCATAAAAGGCACCTAGGCGATTGTTTGTCCGGCAATGATGGAATGAAGCCAAATTTCAAATAATCAACACTGTACTGTCTACATTTCTTTTTAGATTCGGACATGGTATCAGTCATCTGTGGGCAAAATTAAATTATTTAAATAAGACAGAAAATCCAGCAGCTGTACATTAAAAATATTTTTTGATTTTTCTGAAAACATTCCAGAATTCGAACATCTTCTTGCAACAATTAGCTCGAATTACGGAGATTGCACTGTAATTATATTACCGATTGCTAAACTTTCAAAAAGAAACTATTGAGGAGTACTCGTGTAATTTTGCATGACTGAATATTTAACTACTAATAACTAAAGTCTTGACTGGCGTAATTTATCTATCTTTGCTAACTACGAGTACAAAACTATAATTTAATAAAAAATAATGTACTTACTTTTCTCCAGCACTCTCAAACAAAATAACACTGACTCACTATAATTTGTGTGATATACTATCTGTTTATATTTTTTAAAATATTTTCTTAGCACTTTCCTTTTCAAGATTCAGGAAACGAATAAACGTATTTGTCCCACATTCGTATTTATAGAGTGACGAATTGAACAAGTCAGTGCAAGGTAGCGAAGCTCTGAGACTGCTACTCTCAGGTTTTTACAAGACCCCTTGCAGGTTGTCATAGACCCCTAGGTGTTGATATAGAACACTTTGGGAATCAATGCTATAAAGGAAGACGTTTCCAGCCGTAAGTATTATTATTATGTTGATATAATGCTGTCACTTTGGTAGTATCGTTAAAATTTTATGTTGCCTAAAAAACTATGTGGAACATTGATCATATGAGGAGCCTTAGAACAAAACCGAGTAAATCCACATTTTATGAAAATTGAGTTAGCTGCGAATATCGACTCAGTTTATTAAAATACATAATATATGCTACACATTACCGAGAAAAAACGAACATATCCTCGAAAATTTCGTGCAAAACCAAATAAATCCGAGTTTACTTCAAAAGCTAATAAATCCATATAATATGCGGTTGAGTAGTGAACTGTATTTAGGCCACCAGCTGTTAGATGACAATAGATGTTCTCCAGGGGAATTAAAATACGCCCGGTTGTCGACCTTGTTGTATCCTGTCCAACATTGCATCAGCTCTTTGGACTGGTAGTGTGAACGTTTAAAGACAGAAATATGGAAGAAGTTCTAGGAGCTGCATCAGCCGTGAGTGATATCAATGATGGGAGCAGAATAAGAAAAAGAGCTAATAAAAAGCAAAGGAGGAAACGTGGAAAGTAATTTCATTCATTTAAGTTACATTGTACGAATGTACAGGTGAAGGTAGCTTATTCGGCAAACTGTACTGTATGACGCTTTTTGTTATAGATACCAAGATCCAGATCCGGATTTAACAAAATTTAAGCGAGCGTGTTCACATGATAATAAACCTTTCCAGTGTCAAAAAGTCAAAATATCTGACAAAACCATGCAAGATATGAAGCTTTGCCACATGATCAGCGTTTCTACCACTGCAAGGAAGCGACTTGTGAAGAACAATCCTCGACAGCGAACAAGGGCAGCAATTTTTTTTTTAAAGTTAAGGGAACTAGATGAACAAAGGCAGCTAAAGTTTGTAGATTTTTTTTATGGCAGCAGTGGGCGTTAAAAATTGCAGGTTGCTTACTTTGTGCAAAATGATTGATTTGGGGCAGTGTCCCAAAGAAAACCGAGGGGAAGATCATGTTTCACGAAAAAGTTTGTCCAAGCGGGAAAAGGTGTACGAATTCATAGGCAAATTAAGAGGTATCGAGAGTCATTATGATCGTAAAAAGTCGAGAAGAATTTATTTACCGGCTCATTTAAGTATTAGCGAATTACAAAAAATTTATAACGAACAAGTTGAAAATCAGTACCAAGTAAAATATTCAATGTTTAGAAAAGTTTTTCTTACAGAATTTAACATTGGATTTTCGTCTCCGGCTCAAGATACCTGTTCTCAATGCACGCGTCTCAAACATCTGGTTTCTGTTTCGACCTGCAACAGGTACAGCCTTTACCACGCACTCCTATTTCCGATGCTTTTTATACGCAACAAATAGGTCTCTACTCTTTCTGCTGAGTTGACATGAGCTCAAGAAATCCTACTTTTTATATTTGCACAGAAGACCAGATTGGGTCTGCTTTGTTTGACTACCTAAAGTCTTTAGACTTAACTGGCGTAGCCCAGATAAGATTGTTCTGTGATGGATGTGGGGGCAGAATAAAAACTCCCACATTATCCATATTTTAATCTCTGGCTCCTAAGGTTTTCTCCCGATAATGTTACCGGAGAATCATCACTTATCCTGTGAGAGGTCATAGTTTAATGCCCGCGGATAGGGTCGTTGGACGTGTATTATTGTAATACCGTATACTACATACACATTTTTAGACAATTTCAAAAATTTATTTATTAAGTTATTCAGCACAATTGTATACGTATCATCTTAAGCTTACGTAAATTTCTCTAGGGATCAGCGAAATATACGTCCCCCCCCTCTTTCACTATTCAGTTTTTGTTAACAAATTACCTCTCACGTCAAAGCCCTCTTACCTGAGGAAAATAATCTCATTCAATACTGATGTTCACTGTAGAACGCTCAGAGAAAATACAATTAGAATACCCGATCATACGTATACATTTTTTAACCATAGTTTCCCTACAATGTTGCTAGAATATATACAATGCTTTTTTTTAATGTCCCCCTATCCCTGGATTTTTTGAAAGGATCAATTCAAAAATTAAAACTTGAGGTAATGAAATTGATGCGTGGATGCCATATTTTAGAGTAAAATTGACAGATGAAAATGTGAAGATGGCCGCTGGGCACCATCTTGGAAAAAAAATTATATGAAAACGGGGTTCTTGTGGCACATCATTTTGAAGCTCCTGATGAGTACTTTATAACCCTAGAATATAGAGTCGATACCTTTACCTACTACCAAATGGTGGTACATTCAATAATTACCTGAATGCAAACCCACTAACATGCATATCTCTACAAATAATTGTAATTCCCTGCCGTATGCACAGCAACAGCGATAAAAACCTGTTTTGTTATTTTTTGTTGAAAGTGACAAGAATATCAGTACGACAACATACATCATTGTACAGTTAAAATATTCTTATAGTGGGGAACGGGCTTAATGATATCATATCTGCCATAGTTCAATTTTTCAAACCATGTGAAGAAACGATTCCGGAACTGGAAAGTTCAAGCTGGCTTAGAGATTTTGGTTTTCTTGAGGATGTTACAGAAAAATTAAATAAACTTAATTTGCAGCTTCAGGGAAGAAACAAAGAACTAGCAGAAATTATTTCTGATATAAGAGCGTTTATCAAAAAGCTAGAGTCTTGGGAACAAAACTTAATCGATGGCGATACCAGGCATCTTCCTGTTCCTTCAGAAAATACAGGGTGTCCGCAAAATTGGGGTTTTCCTTTACACGACGTGTAGATCTTGAAAACATTAGCAATTTTTCTTAGTACCATATACACCAATGTCTTAAGGGAACCGAGATAAAAGGCTCTGCAACATTTTAAAATATCTGAATACCGTCCTGTAGCCGCGACATCCCCGAGTGGTACTAGGACACTAGCTCAACCCGACGACATAACTGGGTCGGGATCAGTGTGTCAGGTCAGTATGCAACCTTCAACCGACGGTTACGGTCACGCGTGTAGAGGTAATCGCATAGACGAGAATCCCTCAACAAGCACTAGAGACGTGGCTAGAGAATTGCAAGTATCAAAAACTAAAGTGTGGCAAACGCTGCGTGAAGAGGGGTATCCGTTTCACGTCCAACGTGTACAAGCCCTTCAACCTGACGATTTTCCAGCAAGAGTGCGGTTTTGTGACTGGTTGTTGCATCAACATGACAATAATCCGGACATTTTGAAGTGCATATTGGTGACAGACGAATCTACGTTCACGCGTAATGGGGTGAATAACTTTCGCAACACTCATGTTTGGTCAGTAGAAAATCCGCACGCTGTCCGTCGGGCACATTTTCAACAAACGTTTTCGGTGAATGTTTGGGCTGGCATGTTCATTGGGCCATTTATTCTCCCAATTCGATTGGACGTGATGCAATACCTAGACTTTTTACGCAACATTTTGCCTTCCTTGTTTGCCTGCGTCTGCTCGGTAGCGCGTCAGCTGATTTCATTTTCTGTTGGAGCGGTATGATTTCGGGCAGAGACGTACATAGCCCTTCTCGTCAACTGGAGAGTGAGTACTTTTTCCTTTATTTTTTTTTTACTTGGTCGCCCTCGTTTCACTACACATTACCTTTGTTATTTCAAGGGTAGTTGTTTCTGAAAAGGAAAACCCCAACTTTGCGGACACCCTGTATATCTCAAAGTTCATTAACATCATATGTCTCTAACTTGAAGGATAACTTCAAAAATCGTTTCAAGGATTTCGACGAAATTGCTATATTCACGCAATTTGTTGTTTCACCCTTCATGGAAATTAGTATAAAACAGTTTGCAACTTCTGTTACACGAAGACGTCGCTGCGACAGGAATGGAAGTGATTGCGTTTCAAAATCATTTAGCTTTAAAATCATTAGTCTCAAATACAAAGTGTATCTGGCCTTCAGTAAGTAAAGATAAATATTCAGTTTTACGTCGTGTGACCTTGAAAGTGAAAGCGTTATTTAGTTCAGCCTATTTGTACGAATCTTCTTTTTCAAATATGAAGTTTATTAAAAACAAATACCGTAATCGACTTACAGATGAATATTTGGATAATTCTATTCGAATGTCGGTATCAAATTATACTCCAAATAATAAAAAAATTGTCACTGAGTCTGAATGTCAGGCTTCTTATTGAACAAGCATTTTTTATCTGGACATGTATTTGTTTAAAATAGTACGTTGCTTTTTTTATTTTTAGTTACCTTTGTTAAATGGTTATTGGTTTATTTAAGTTTATTATTATTAGTAAAATAAACACATGTATGTCGCTGATTTCTATCTCTAAATTCTTGTATTTGGTAATTTTTTCAATTTCTTCCGGATGTACATTTGTATCATGTGGTATCGAGATATCTATCATCTTATAATTGTTATTATTGTATTTTATTTCTTCAATTTATTTATCATCCCTGGCCATTGATTTTACTGCAGTTTGATCAGGTGCGGTCGTAGTTTCATATTAACTGAGACGACCTATTATTTTTCGCTAAAACAAAAACGTGAGTATCCCTGGTACAAAAAGAACTTTCCTATAAGGAACACGCACCAAAAACAGGTGAAATTTTCCAAAGACGGGATCCTGCTGCATTATTTATTTATTTATTTATTTATTTCCAACAGGTGAAACCCAATTACAGGAAACGGTGAAAAAAATAACAATTAAACAGACATGGTTCTTGGACTAGAGTATCACACATTCTAAATAAGATTCGATGATCTATAGCAGTTAATAATCGATGAACAACTGTCACTGTAAATATCACACGATTCAGTAACACTGTTCATGACGCAGCACATGAGATTAATTGGCGATTTTGTCATAACATTTGTACGGCCAGCTTGACAACAGAATGCGGTTTGTTGTCGACTCCCCATATTTTTTCAAGTAAATTTTGACAGTCATTTTTATGAGGCCAAAAACGACAAAGCAAATATGTTTCATCTTGTTGACAGTGAATCCAAATTGAAAAACTCTAATAGGGCACTATGGTCACAACCTCTTTCTGGATAAGAACCTGTGCATTTAAGGTGAAAATACTTTAAAGCCTTACGTTGAATGGTCTCAAGGATCACGACAGAATTTTGGTATATAACCCTTCCAGTTTCTGATACAGAAACCAAGTAGTCGAGTGGCAGCCGACGAGATATTGAGTATATGCTCAGTAAACGTTAGCTTGGTATCAAAAATGACTCCAAGGTCTCTATAAGAGGTGCATCTGTCTATAACCTGACCATTGATGTTATAATTATCATAAATTAAATAGTTAACCTTTCTTGTATAAGTCATAACGTTACACTTCGAAACATTCAGACTGAGACAGTTTCGTGAACACCATGACAAAATTAGAGCTAAGTCATCTTGCAACATGACGCAATCCTCGACTGTCTTGACTGACGTGCAGATTTTAAGGTCATCAGCGAAAAACAAATGGAAACACTTCAGTTCAAAAGACAAGTAATTAATAAATATTAAAAACAATAATGGACCTAGATTTGACCATTGAGGTACCCCAGACGTGGCCCGATAGTAACTCGACCTATGACCACCATATTCAACAAATAACCTTCTATCCCTCAAATATAAATTCATGACCGACAGCATTGCATCAGACATACCCACTGCTTTAAGCTTATCCAGAAGTGCATAATGATCAACTTGATCAAACGCCTTCTGAATATCTGTGTGGATGACATCAACTTGTCCCTGACCGTCCAGTACTTCAGAAATGTACTGAGTAATTAGAGCCAAGTTGGTGACCGTAGATCTGCCTCTCATGAACCCATGCTGATTAATAGAGACTGCACCCCTGACCGAGCAGTAAACCGTTTCATAAGCGATGTTCTCAAACAACTTGCTGAAATTGCACAGGATTGCTATTTGGCGATAGTTGGAAATATCAGAGATATCTCCACTTTTGTGAATA